CTCATCACATCATCAGTAGCCTCCTAATGTCATCAGTCACTCACCTAGAATTAAGATACTGGACGTTTTTATTCAGAATTTGTTGCACTGCTCCGTTGGTTGTTCCACCTATGTCCTGCCCCTATTCTTTAGTCTTTTGTACTCATTCTCTGGCTCTGCCTTTCTATCCCCGTGTTCCTTTTCCTCTTGCTATGTCGCCCAGCACTTTCCCTCCCATCATTCGTTTTCTTCCCATCAAACCTCAGAAATAGCCTCAGATCACCCTGGCAATGCTGTTCCACACACCCTGGCCCTTGTATCCATGTCAGTCTCAATGGCTCTAAGGAGACTTCCTGCAGGGGACACGCTTGCAGGCCTCTGGCTGTAGGAATGGAGTCCCCGTGTGCAATAAACGGTTGGCTAAGAAGAGACTATCTTTAAAAATGAATGAGAGGTGAGGATTTTTAGTGGTATTTTTTATTGGACCAATTGTACAGTTGGGAGCTTCAGGCATCAAGTGCCCTTGTTCAGGCCTGAGTTTAGACCTGAAAATATCATGTAAAATCCTTGCCTCTCACACATTTCTTGGACCATTTTTTGAAGAACACTCCAACCAGATATTAAAAATGAAGAAACATCACCGAGGAGGTGTTGGTTCAAGACTTTAAGATGTGTAATCCTTTCCTGGGCAGCCACAAAGCCTCAACATGACCAGCTGCTTAAAGCAGAGTCACCAGAAAGCCAACAAGGGAAGAAACTGGCACCGAGACACAGGAGAAATTAGAAATGAGCAGAACACAGTGAGCAAGAAGAGCAGTCAGAGAGCATGTTACACGGGTGGAGGGAGAAGAGGATGGGCTGTCTGTGACCATCAGAGGGAAGAGAACCAGGAGACAAGACAAACAGGTGCATCCAAAAGCCATGGAGTCAGGTGGCAGCTGCTAGGAATATCAGTAAATATATTATTACACTTGATCTTAGCCCACGTGACATTGCCCCCACACACATCATAAAGCTGCTACAAAATGGAGCATAAAACCATTCAAAATTCAGGCCAAATTCACATCCAAAATCGGGAGAAAAAGAAATCTAAAATCTACAAGCATTTTATTTAGGTATTTTTAAAGCTCCTTTCCATTCAAACCAGAATTTTCAATTAACTATTTTGCATGAAAAAGGACATGCTGGGTGGGGAGATGGGGAGTTAAACCAAAGGGGTAAATAATCTTCAAATGAATATTTTGTTTCAGCCCAAATGAAACATCTGGGGTTGACCCAAAACAAAATTTTTCAATTTTCTCTCTCATCTGGCTGCAAAGCCTGAAAAAATTCTCTTTCAGTTCAACTAGACTTCATTTTATTTTGATAATATTTTGGTTTGACCACCAAAATGTGGGTGGAAGTTCACCCCAGTTCCCAAAGATATCAAACATGCCCAAGAGAATTCTCCACTGTCCAAACGGGATGGATGATCCCAGATTTTAAAGTGGTCTGAACATCAGAGAATTGTAGAAGCACAGAAAAATAGGGCTGGAAGGGACATCTGGAGGACATCCAGCCCTCCTTCCTGCCTGAGGCACGATCATCTCTATCCAAAATATTCCATGCAAGTCCTTGTCTAACCTATTACTAAAACCACACAATCAGCCCTGTTGCACACTGGAAGCCAGGGTCTACAATCAACCCTCGGCCATTCTGCCCCACATCCATTTTCTCAGCCCCCCAGGAATACACCCCATCCAATCCCATTATTAGTTATCAATTCATCCCCAGCCTCCAGATAAATCCTGTCCTTCTGCCCCATCTGTTCTGCCTCTGCACCCCCCTCTACCAGGCCTCACTGGGGAGGCAGTAATAGGGATCTCTTCTTTCAGGCAGCGTATTTCTAGAAGGGGAAGCAGAACTGCTCTAAGTACTTCAGCTCTTTCATCAAGAAAGGGGGGAGCTCTGCCTCCTTGACTAGTTGCTCCTCTCCTGGTTGTGGGGTGGGGGTCGTTAGGGCAGGCAGCCAATTAGTTTCTCCCCCACCCTCCAAGCAAAAATTAAGAAGTGTGCCCTTCGCTGCCCCCTCTTGTTCTTTAGGCATTTTTCCTGGGGCTGCAGCTCCTTTTGACCCAGCACAATCTACACCCTGGATAATCTTCATTGTCACGCTGAGTACATGGAAGGTTTGTAAAACAAGTGGGAAAACAGGAGAATTTATCAGTAGTATTAGAGGTGTACGGGCGCACACGTATATGTGCGTGCACACGTGCGTGTGTGTGCATGTATGCATGCATGCACATGCGTGTGTGTAAAATTGCCAATTCTTCTTCCACTTTTAACTGGGATGTTTTTTAAATCCAAGTATATGTTTCCCTGAATGAGGAATTGTGATCTTTCGAAACACCCAGCAAAATGTTCTTAAACAACTTCCAATTACTTTTCATATTTTCCTGTTTAATTTTTTCCTCCCAATTTGTTTCGCTCAGAATTATTTTTGGCCATGGGAAATTGGCCCCTTCTAAAAGTTAAACATATTCATATATTCCCCGTTACGACTATATTCTGTTTGCTTATAACATGCAATCAGGTTATAATCATTTGCAGTGAGGCAGCCAGCAACTGTGTACAGGAGGAGGCTGAGTAAGAGTGAGACGTCATCCTGTTAGGACAGAATAAAATATTGTGTCCACTTCTGGTGTCCACATTTTAAATAGGACAAGGAAAACCCCAAGGCAAAGAGCTGCAAGACTAATTAATACAAGGCCTGAAAAATCTGTCTTCCAGTAAGAAATCTGAGAAACTCAGTGTCTTTAAGTTCCCCACAAAGTTATAGTATCAGCATGATTTTGGCATGGTCGATAGAGTTCTGCAGGGTGAGACGATTTCTGATATTGGAGGGCATTTAAGTTAAACAGGAAAAGGCATATACATATCTGATGACTAGAAGTCAAAGCAGACAAACTGATGTGGGAAATCAGGCAGATGTTTTTAACTATCAGATGCCCAATTACCAAAGGCAGTTTTAGTCCAGACTGTGTGTGTCTTTTTCCAAGCTCTCCTCTTGCTCAGTAAAGGTTATGGTCTGGATGCAGATATCCATAAGTGAGGTTCTTAAGCCTCTGTTATGCAGGATGGTCAATTAGATGACCATAAAAAAATCCCTTCTGGCTTTAAAAATCTGTAGGGATCCATGAACCTTTTTAGCTGCCTCTTTGTTTTCCTTATTCTCACTAACTCCAGGAGTGAACAGCTGTGAGTCCTTTCTAAAGAACTGCTGCACTGTTTTGAAGATCATGACATTTTGAAAAAAATAAAAGAAAGGTATTGGTTTGTGGGCTTCTCCTCTGATGCTTTAACCTTTAGGCAATGCTGCTTGCCCAGCAGTGTATATGCCCGTGTGTGTGTGTGTGTGTGTGTGTGTGTAAATTCAACCCTATATAAACACACCAAGTTCAGGGGCATGTGAATTCCTGTTCTTTGGGAAATCCCAATATTTGGGGGTAGGGAGGGGACATGTAAAAAATTCAATATTTCAAAATTTCCTGTGAAATGAAAAAGTTGAATGAATAAAAAAGTTGTATTTCAGAAGCATCAAAACATTTCCTTTGGACTTTTCTATTAGAGTAAAATATTAATAACAACATATCCTATATGTTATCTTATTAGACTGAGATATTCATTGTCATATTGTTTTTTATATATATATAATATATATATATATACACACACATAATAAAACAATATGACAATGAATATCTCAGTCTAATATAAAAGTGCTTCAATTTTATTAAAAGTGTCTTTTTTAATGAAAATATATTCTGTTGAAATTCTCTGCCCAGCTCTAAGATTAAGCATGGTACAAGTAGCCATAGCAGGGGCAAGCTCTCCAGGGCTGCAAGGAATTATCCTTAGAGAGTGCCATTCAACTTGGGCAAAGGGCTACGCCATTAAAACCCTATTTTCAGGGTTTACCTGTGATGTACATGGCTTCTATGCCAGCCCTTTGCAAAGGGTTTAACTTTAACATGTTGCTTGGCTTCATCCACTCCTGGCCTCACGGTGTTATTTTTCTGACAGCATTGCTATAGCTGGGCTAGTAGGAAAGGGCAATTCACACTTTTACAGCAGGATCTCACCACCTTCAATGCAGCTTAGGATTTTTCCTGGGTTCAGATGTCTACATTGCCTCAGCCTCAGTCTCAGAGGTCCTGATCCACACTCCTGTCCCCATGCTGCCATTCTAATTTCAAACTGATAGGAAATCCAGAAAGCAAAGGGAGGTGAGGGGATGTGTATGGACAGCAAGGTGAGCAGAGTTGTGCGTGGGCTGCTTTTCTTTGGGTTAGGATAGGCACCCATAGTGTCTCTGATTCTGCTCTGCTGATCTTGCATCTTTTACAATGACTGATGCCAGGGACACTACTCCTGATTTCCATGAAGGGAAAAAAATGCAGCTGCTTCTGACCTGATTTCTCTCTGCTCCTCACTGATGCCACTTTGGTTTCCTTTGTAATCCATCCCCCCTCCACCCCGCACATCATATCACCCCAGAACACGTTATGCTTTCTGTAATAACACCATACTTACAGCTCCCCCAGGAAGCGCATATGATGAAAAGTGTTGGGCTGCAGTTCGCTAATGTTGTTCATGCTCAGATCACTATGGGAGAAGAAAGACAGAAGCTCTGATCAGTCATTATTGGTGGCTTGCACGGAATAAACCACTCCCCACCTGACAGTCTCTGTGCAGAGCCCATTCTCAGAAGAGGAAAGAGATGCCCTTTTGGAAGGCATCTCAGACCTAGTATGGCCAGGAGAAATTCCCTCTTAGCTCTGCCTGGCAACATGAGTGAATAAAGCAGGATGAAAGAAATCCTCACGTTAATGAATCCTGTGTCCTTCTGTGGCATCTTTCACATGAACTTCTCAAGCACCCCCAGGATTTTGAAGGTACCAAAAGGTTTAGGGCCCTGTTCACTCTTGCAGAAATGAGAAGCCAGCAAAAGGTGTGGAGCATCTGGTCATCACCATTACCTACACTGCCCCCTCCTGGGAGACCCTGTTAAAGAAGCCAAACACAACTGCCCTGCAGGGCAAACCTGGGAGGTGAGAGCTAATTGCTGGTCATTGCTTGCAACCTGGTGAACTAGCCCTCTCCAAATGGGGAGCAGCTATGAAAAGGTGCAAGGCCAAGACCAAGGGGCCCGCAATTTGTTCCACTCTTTAAATCTGGTGGCAAAGGTCATGCCATTCTTTACATAGAAACTTCTGTCTCTCCACGGCCTTTAGCTGCGGCTTGGGTTTAATAACTGACATGTCCCCTCTCAGGGGACCCTGTACCTCATTTGCAAGGCAACAGGCTTGACTGATCTAGCAGGTCTTTGTCTCAAAACCTTTGTAACATCATGTGCCTTACATATAATTAACAGTAGCAGCCCTGCCCTCTTGAACAACCCTGCAATAACAAAACAGTGTTTGTTATGATATAAATCAAGAGCAAGTCTGTGCCTACAACTGTACATTTGATCCTTGCTCTTGAAGAAAAAAAAAAAGCAATCAGAAATTGCTGAGGCCCAGGTCAGGGCTGACATGGCTGAAAACAACTGGGAGCTCAAAGGTGGGGCAAAATTCTCATCTGGGCATGAAGGCGAAGGTGAGATCTCGTATGGGTGCAGAACAAGGCATTGGGCTCTGGACTTAACAGGATGCATGCAGGGCATGAATGTCCTCCTTAGAGTTCATCCTTCAGACTAGATGCATATACATATGTGCTTTCATACATACATGTATCACCCGGTTCCT